GAGAACATCATCAGCCATCTCAGTTATATCACGTAGAGCTCAGAAGATTTCTTACGACACGACGACAGCTCGCGAAGGAAGTGGACGACGCAAATCCCTATCCCCGAACTACGACGACGAACATTCAAATAAAGACAAATGTGTTTGCAGATCTTGACTGATGACGCCGTTGATACAGCTAGCTCGACACTCACAGCACCCTCGTCCTCCGGCGGTTTGCTCGAACGCCGCTCTCGCTCCGCCAGACATGACACACAGCGTCCCCCTCGTACCGCCTACCGCAAGTACTTCACCACCGAGGCAAGGTGTGCAACCCAGTTTACTCGACGCACACAATAACTATGTCCCTCACAAGTGTCTTTTAGCACCAATCCCCTCACGACACACGACCCGTGTCGGCCTTTATCTCATCACCCGAGAAAGGTGCGTTAGCGATTTTGGGATCCCTGCCCACTTAATGATTGATGCACGCAAGGGTGGTTGCAATGCCATTGTGCGGTGGAAAAAGGACCGGAACTGCCTCAACCTCCGGAGTGCCCAATGGCCCAATACGATACGCGAGCTATCCTTTGGGACGTATGTACCGCTCTTGTTGCAGTCCTCTCCTGCGTCATACGCTTGTCTCTTTAAAGTCACGGCCGCGTTTTGTACTGAGTCTCACAGTCATGAGCTGTATCAGTGTATCCATGTGAGCTGTCCAGTACAGGAGCGGTAATCTACTCACCCTGTCGCCAGATACGAACGCCCTCGATACTCTCGAGGACTCCCTCCATCCCTGGTCCAACCTGAGCACCTCTTCCCCACTTCAGCCCCACTCTCCTCAACACGGCGTACTTCATCGTCCTTGGTTTCTCATACCCCACCACCTAAATGGAGAGGCATCACAGGCTTCGTCCTCATTGTACGTAGACTCTAACCGGAGCCCCAAACATGGACGTGCTACCTTCCGGTCTGAATATCAATAAGATTCGAGCAGGATTTTACTCGCACGTCCCCGGAGGACCTTGAACCCGTTCAAGGTGCGCAGCATACGAACCATCATATACAGCTGCAGAATATATGCAGCTTTCGCGAGGTGTTGGGTTTGCTGCACCGGAATGGCATATAACAAGTGAGTGTCCTTCCGTCTTTCATACAGATATTGAGTCAGATCGACGTGGAATCTTCGAACGACCTTGGCGCCGATCTTGGAAGTCGCCCAGTAGTTTGCGTTTTGTTTACTCCCATCGCGGCTGCACAATCCCTCGCTTGTGATCTTTCAACGGTATTCGGGTCGTCCCCTCTTAATCCATCCCCATGCGCTGCGCACAGCTGATCTGCACTAGGTACGAGCTCTACCCAGGACCTTTACGAGAGCCCGATACACCATCGTCCATTGAAGAACAGCTCTGTTACAACCTCATTCCTAAAACTCCAGGCTACGCACATCACTATTCCTATCCTGACCCGCCACACATTCATATTGGGTTTCTTGATACAGGAGTCAACCTTCATGTTTCCTGGCACCCTCGACACGCCAACACAATCTTCGCAGCTTTGTCGCTCATTGCACCGTCGACCCACCTTCCCCCCCCCCCCTCCTCTCTCAACACAACGCCCCACGAGAGTCTCAGTACCCTACATTCCAAGATGATCCAGTGCGTCAGCCGCTGTCACCGTGTCGGAGATCTGTGGTAAAGTGGTAATCCGGCAACGTAGAATTTTCGCGTTCCGTCCTGTACGTAGTCCGTGCCGCGTGCACCCTGATCCATACCGGTCTTTACCTCCCACCACGATGCTACCACTCCGTACTCTTCTTCCCTCAATCATGCCCTCCTTCACATTCCTTCATCCTCTTCTTTTCCCTTCATTTGTCTCTGTGCATGCCCGGCAGCATGGCGTGAGGCAGACCAGTACCTTGCCTACTCCTCTGAGAAAGAAGGCAACTTGTTGCTCACTGCCGACATATTGGTACCAGTCGAAAGCCTCACCCCACTCACCGACATGCTTCCCAAACCCCCTCCTCATCCCTGCGCCCTATTATCCCACCGTCTTCAGACTTTTCCTGCCGGCTTCCGTTTTCTTGAGCTACCACAGAAGATTTGGCTTTGGACAGTAGGGAAAGGGCCGACAGGGAGAGAGCGGAGAACATGCCTGATGGACTGATACTTGGACAATACAATACCTCCGACAAAGAAACAGGAAGATGATGTGCGCTTGTCGAACGAAGAAAAATATCGGTCTTTCAGTGAAAATTCCCACGAGCGTCAAGATCTCAAGCGCTCAAGGCTGTCGGACGTTTTGGCAGTTTGACCCTAATGCCGACGTTATCTCCGAAATTAGTCGCAACATCCCCTTGAGAGCGCTCGTCGGTTCCAACCATCAACTTTGACGACTCTGGTGAAACCTAGAATCTTACCGCTGCAGCACTGTACTAACCCGGGCAGAGGGAGACAATCCCCGTGCCACATCTCAAACGATAGTGAATCTTCATCGCTATTACACCGTTCTAGGCTGTACCCAAGAGAAACATGCGATTACAACATATTATGATAAGTAATTTCTCCTCAGAGCCCGTATCAGCACATCCCGACGCAGATCATCTCCGATAGCCCCCCGTCCAGCAAATGCAGCAATGATAGCCTCTGAGCGCGGTACCTCGATCATTGCGGAGGGCGCATTACCCAAACTCGCGGATTTGGTATGGTTGCCTCTTTTCCCTTCACAGAGGGGCATATGAGATGCAGGGGTTGAGGTGGCTTTTGGGAATATGTTGGCGAGAGACGTGATCTCTGAAAGCGGCTCGCGTCCTCGTCTGCTCATCGCAGAAGGGTATTGTTTGGTGGCCTGCGCCACGTTCGTTGGAGGCAGCGACATATGACCAAGTACTTCGAGTGAATCAAGCGAGGAAAGGGGGGAAGGTCTACGGGTTCGTGTCACCGGCGTTGGTTGCACGTTTTCCTTATTCTCCCGAGTATGCGCGACCTGACTGGATGCCTAAGGAAGAGATGAGCCATGCGCCGAGCAGCACAGGCTCTTTTT